GTACTAAACGTATAGCATGTACGCGCTCTGACAGCACTAAACGTTTAGCGGGTACGCGCTCTGACAGTACTAAACTTATGGCAGGTACGCGCCCTGACAGCACTAAACTTATAGCTGGTACGTGCTCTGACAGCACTAAACTTATAGCATGTACGTGCTCTGACAGTACGAAACTTACAGCATGTACGCGCTCTGACAGCACTATACTTATAGCATGTACGTGCTCTGACAGCACTATACTTATAGCATGTACGCGCTCTGACAGCACTAAACTTATAGCATGTACGTGCTCTGACAGCACTATACTTATAGCAGGTACGTGCTCTGACAGTACTAAACTTATAGCATGTACGCGCTCTGACAACACTAAACTTATAGCAGGTACGTGCTCTGACAGCACTAAACTTATGGCATGTACGCGCTCTGACAGCACTAAACTTATAGCAGGTACGTGCTCTGACAGCACTAAACTTATAGCATGTACATGCTCTGACAGTACTAAACTTATAGCATGTACGCGCTCTGACAGTACTAAACTTATAGCATGTACGCGCTCTGACAGCACTAAACTTATAGCAGGTACGCGCTCTGACAGCAATAACCTTATGGCATGTACGTGCTCAGACAGTACTAAACTTATGGCATGTACGCGCTCTGACAGCACTAAACTTATGGCATGTACGCGCTCTGACAGCGCTAAACTTATAGCATGTACGTGCTCTGACAGCACTAAACTTATAGCATGTACGTGCTCTGACAGCACTAAACTTATGGCATGTACGTGCTCTGACAGTACTAAACTTATAGCATGTACGTGCTTTGACAGTACTAAACTTATAGCATGTACGTGCTCTGACAGTACTAAACGTATAGCAGGTACGTGCTCTGACAGTACTAAACGTATAGCATGTACGTGCTCTGACAGTACTAAAATTATAGCATGTACGTGCTTTGACAGTACTAAACTTATAGCCGGTAGTGCTCTGACAGTACTAAACTTTCAGCAGGTACGTGCTCTGACAGTACTAAACTTATAGCAGGTACGTGCTCTGACATCTCAAACTTATGGCATGTACGTGCTCTGACAGTACTAAACTTATGGCATGTACGTGCTCTGACAACACTAAACTTATGGCATGTACGTGCTCTGACAGCACTAAACTTATGGCATGTACGCGCTCTGACAGTACTAAACTTATAGCAGGTACGCGCTTTGACAGTACTAAACCTATAGCATGTACGTGCTCAGACAGTACTAAACGTACAGCAGGTACGTGCTCTGACAGTACTAAACTTACAGCAGGTACGTGCTCTGACAGTACTAAACTTACAGCATGTACGTGCTCTGACAGCACTAAACTTATAGCATGTACGTGCTCTGACAGTACTAAACGTACAGCAGGTACGTGCTCTGACAGTACTAAACGTACAGCAGGTACGTGCTCTGACAGCACTAAACGTTTAGCATGTACGTGCTCTGACAGTACTAAACTTATAGCATGTACGTGCTCCGACAGCACTAAACTTATAGCATGTACGTGCTCCGACAGTACTAAACTTACAGCATGTACGTGCTCTGACAGTACTAAACTTACAGCAGGTACGTGCTCTGACAGTACTAAACTTATAGCTTGTACATGCTCTGACAACACTAAACGTGTAGCATGTACGTGCTCTGACAGTACTAAACTTAAAGCATGTACGTGCTCTGACAGCACTAAACTTATAGCAGGTACGTGCTCTGACAGCACTAAACTTATAGCAGGTACGTGCTCTGGTCAGTACTAAACGTATAGCAGGTACGTACGTATACGTGACCAGGTTACACTTGATGTAACGTGTAGCAAGTACGTGCTCAGGTAGCACATACCCCACGACTCAAGGGTGCAGTAACGCGTCTTTCACCCAAGCCGTGCAAACTGGGGGTCAAACTGAGGATTGTAAATTTGAGTTTATTGCCACTCGGTCAAAATGTCCGAATTTGTTGTTTGGCGTGTTTGCCAATTGAGAGCGCCGGCGTTGGAAGGTAGTGGGTAGAGGGCCAGACAGGACTTATCCGCGACTGTTTGAACAATAGTAGGGTCGTAAAACCCCCATTCTCTTGTTTGCATCCAAGGGGACCTCTTTGAGAACCCGTGCAGTTCAAACATCTGCGATCTGGCTTCACTTTGTAACACAATTCCTCATTACAAGGGAGGTAATCGATGTACGGAATGTCAATTTGAAGTTTTGTTTCGGCGATTTAGCGAAAGTCACGGTATATATCCGCTACGTACGTTAAAACGTGGGTCTGACGATATCTCTGTTACGTCTTATTAATTCTCAAGCGACTTGCACTCTACTACAGCTGTGTGAGCGCAAACGAAGCTCTCGCTCGAGTGTTTACAAGCTCTGTATAGCTGTCAGACTCCTTGTTGGTAGATCTTAAACGAGACAGGCTTTATCTTCAGAAAGCGTACGGTGTTTACCACTGTAAACCAACCCAGAATTCGTGTTCCCAGTAGACATAGCTATACCAGAAACCACGCATCCTTGGGGTGCTGATACTTAATAACAAACACACCAGGAGATTTAACTTCTTTATTTGCAGAAGTCAGTGTATTTATTTATTTCAGTGTTTAATTTGACATGTGAATATTTTGTTGACATACTTTCAAAATAACGTTTTAACCAGATGAACACAAGAATTTCCGAAAAAGAAAACTCCTCTTTAAAAAAATGAACACTTTGTTGAGGCTATTCGATCTTTTCTGTTTAAGAAATACAATTGAGAAATTTAAAAATACGTTATTAATATGGCTAGTCTGTGTCGTATTTGCTACAAGCTGACTGAGTTAATACATTTGTTGATATGTAAATGCCGCACGCCCGGGCAGAAACACGCTGTTGGAAGCACGATATGTAGAGATTAGCCCCTATGTGGTTTACTCATATACACCACATATGGGTTTGAAGGAGGTCCGTCGTGTCTTCATCTCCAGGTTACGCTGCTATTCGTAAGGCTCTCATGCGGTATACCTTGAGGCATGCCAACTAATTTAGTACAACTTCTAAATTAAAGGGAAATTTTTCATTCTCGAAAGAAATTAAAATCCGCATTCGTCATCACTGAACAAGCAGCTCGTTGTTAGCTTCCGGTTAATAAAAGCAGTCGGAACAAGGCCCGAGCACTCCATGCCAATGTATCCTTACGCGTATAACGCCCTAGGTTGCCACTGCGGATCGATTTATCATGGGTAAAGGAGTGAACCGTCGTGACCTTTTTGACACTTTACAAACACGTTAATTTGGATAATAGTTGCCTTCCGATAATCGATTTGCCCCGATCCGTTTTTGCCGTTCCGGTTTTTCATGACCCCCAAGGGCATATTTAGTTACGTAATGTTGACTTTCTCGGTTGAACTTTATTAGGTTTTCTCGTTTCCTTTGGGATTCAGTGAACTTGAAAATTAACCCGACATCTCGAATTACATGCTTTGTTGGTTTCAAATGAAAAAGCGGCTTGCCAGGATTTGAGGGAGTGAGAGCAGCGGCAGTATCAGACAATGCAATAGATTTATAACAGTATTTCATTTTGCATAAGTTTTGCAAATATCAGCATCTCTTAAAAAGAACATCACAGAACTGAAACGCAGAAGGGTAACTATTAATAAGCTGCAATAAAAAAACGATCAGTCTCGGCTCAGTTACTTGATATTTTAGCAAACGAAATTATAGTATATGAGAGATATGTTAAACCCGGGGCTTCTATTTAAGGAAACAGCCCAATAACATGTTCCTTGGCCATGAACAATTATCATGAAGACGACCGACCATGACATGCTCAGCTGGAGTGTTGATGCTATATGTATGACAATGGTTGTAAATATAACTTGGTTACTGTGTTCCAAACTGGGATATATCGGGGCAACAGGGCCCTAATCCCAGCCCTAAACCAGGGGCTTTACTGGCAATAACTTCAGCTGGGGAATACAATGGAAAATAACGCGTGTTAGTCCAGGTCCGCCCCTGTTCGATTACATAGCAGCTAAATCTTCCTTTATTCCTGCACGAGGTAGCCAGACCGAGGACAGCTAAATAAAATACGGAACATAAGGTGCATTTATTTTGTCGTAAAATGTTATACGATATAAGAAAACAGCAAATGAAATCTAAATGGGATGCCTTGATGCTAGGTCAACGAGACAACACTAAATCTGTTGATAGATAAAGGGCACTAAAGTAAATAACACATGATTGAAAGCATTTCGTTAAAATTACAAATAACTGTACTTTTATTTATTTACGTCTTAATATAGAGGAGCGTTAACCAATCACGACTTCGATTTCGCGTGGCCCTTGGTAAATCAGTTCACTCAAAGATATGCATTTTTCTTGACTGTTTTCAGTGCTTATTTGTTTCTAATGAAGACTGATAATTTTTCTATTTAATTTATATCGTTATTAATGGAATGATTATAGTTTTCAACATTACATATTTGATAAGCGCCCACACAACGATACATTTAGAGCTTCAAGTGCACATAACATGACGGGATATTTATATCCTTTGGCAATTTTGTAAAATATATATTTGGTAATATATTCTCTTCTTAAAAAAATATACTTTACATATTAATAATGAATTCTTTTAGTCTGTTTAATACCAAGAGTTTTAGCAGAGAAAAGAGTGTAATGTATTTAGTGGAAATGGGCGAGAAATATGCATACAACATTCGTAGGTCATTAGCTAAACAGGTAGACTCCTGGACATAAATCTAGACATAATGGTCACATTCTGGTCACATAAGACTCACATTAATATCTATATGTCAAAATTGAAATGATAATCTCCTATAGATTGGGTCAGCATGCTGCGATTGACTTAGCCACACATTGACCAATTCTCCTCTCAAATCACTGGTTTACTTGCATTGTCCATCTTTGGTTATTTTGTATGATGTTTTTTTCACAGAATTGCTACCGTGGATTATGTTTTATATTGTCATTGTTTGTTTCAGCGGTGTAAAGAAAAGCTGAACATGTTGGCGATATCGGTGATGAATCAGTGGCCTGGGGTGAAGCTGCGCGTGACTGAGGCGTGGGATGAGGATGGGACTCACTCCAAGGACTCACTGCATTATGAAGGCAGAGCCGTAGATATCACAACGTCGGATAAAGACAGAGCCAAATATGGTATGCTCGCGCGCCTCGCTGTGGAATCAGGATTTGATTGGGTCTACTACGAGTCACGGAATCACATTCATTGTTCGGTAAAGTCAGGTAAGCGTTTTGTGTCACATTTTTAAAAACAATAGTCACAGATAAAATTCGTTAACGCGACGCTCTGTAGTTGGGGTGGTGACTGGAGGAGCATGGATTACAAAGAAATATTAGTCCATTCACAGTCGTTAATCCGGACACATCTTAATCCAAACGATTTTACTAGAAAAGGTGGAGACCGGATAAACGAGGTTGCATTGTGACGTGTGTTGTGTGATGAAAGGAATCCATGGGTGCACTTATTGTTTACAAAACAATCTGTATTCTCTGGTTTGTTAAAAAAAGAAAATTGACCATAATAGATTGAAGACGCTTAGTCAATTTATTTTCATAATTGAGTTTTGATTTTGTAAATTAGCCGAAATATGTCCGCGCTGGTAGAGATTGATTGGGTTCGATCCCCGTGTAACAAGTCACGTTCATATAATTGCCACACCTTGAGCTCGTGCGTTGGCGAGAACTTCCTGGTGCGGCGTTAAACAATATTCACTCACTCAATCAAACCGACCAATATGTCTTTTTAAACTTTTGATTAAGGTGTATTGCATTTACCAACATTAGTGTTGTTTCGTGGGTCAACTGACACTAGTGCAAATAGTGCATGAAAATGTCACATCGATCTTGGCGGTTTTCATAGTCGTGTGTAACTACACATGTAGAGCGGAAAACCTGCTCTATAGCGGAATACTCACAACACTGCCATTAACATAGCACTATCGTGCTTGGGACTCTCATTGGTCGACGCTCGTCATCCGCGGATTTGTATTTTGAAAAAATCACTGTCACTTTTTTTAAACTTTGACCATTAGCACGAAAACGTGCCGAGCAATCTGGGGAGGCACTAACAGCTCGCTAGGTAAATAATCTGACCCAAAAATGCGTTTGTTGTATAACAAAAGGGGCATATCTCGCCGCTTCTTTGCCGGCTGTTATAAGGGTCGTAGAAATGACGACCAAAATAATTAGTATGTTGACAAAAATTCTCGGATTTCTCTGTGTTGTGTATTGCGAGTATCTTCGCTCCGTTCAAGGCGTGGTTACGAGAGGACCACTGACAGCGCTCATATAGACTACGCTCAAACTCTGAAAATATATAATTTTGATAGAAAGAAGCTGTTGCATTTTAAGTGAAAAGGAGGCTAGTGAGATGGGAGGTCCTGAACGTATGGAATATCTAGATCTGCTTCATTTGGGGCTACTGCATTAAAGTAAGGGCTGGAGATTGGGAAAAAAATACTGTTGGGGGACCCAGACAGACTAACACTGACACAACACTGTGTACTGCTGCATGTTTAATATTCTGACTATCAGTACCGGTAGATTCTAATTAATGTCAGTGTTTGTTGAAAAGCGTTTGTCAAGAAAGGTTTGTGAATGTATCTGTTGGCTGTCTTTGATGTCGACAGCCTTTAGGGTCTACTTTTCACAACTTTTGAGGTAAATCGAGCAAGCTCTTTCTGAGAAGATTTCAAAGAGCGTCACACGGCTCCTCATGCGTTGTTTGATAAGGGTTACAACATTCAAGGCCTTTGGAAAGTTTTCAAAACGTTTTACGGTAGATTTTGCAAATTTGACGTATCAGTGATAAAACTAATGCAATTCCATATTTTGATTTGTACAATATGTTCACGTGTCTTCCCAGCGGAAAATTGACTTGCCTTTGCATGTGTCTTTTTGCGGATGTCACCAGTGGGCAGGATACACCCACCTTTTCGTTAACACCTGGTATCTTTATAATTTTATAGTGATTCAGAAACACACGTAACCATCATACAGTTGACTCTTGATTTCTTATAATGGAAAGGGTTTTGTCGCTTTTTTTAATATTAGGAATGGATAACCGATGACTTGATTATATAATGGACAACATATGATTTGATTTTTTATAATGGAAAACCGATCATTTGATTTCTGTAATGGACAACCGATCATTTGATTTCTGTAATGGACAACCGATCATTTGATTTCTGTAATGGACAACCGATCATTTGATTTCTGTAATGAACAACCGATCATTTGATTTCTGTAATGGACAACCGATCATTTGATTTCTGTAATGGACAACCGATCATTTGATTTCTGTAATGGACATCCGATCATTTGATTTCTGTAATGGACAACCGATCATTTGATTTCTGTAATGGACAACCGATCATTTGATTTCTGTAATGGACAACCGATCATTTGATTTCTGTAATGGACAACCGATCATTTGATTTCTGTAATGGACAACCGATCATTTGATTTTTATACTGGACAGCCGAAGACTTCCAGGATATGTGAACTCACTTCATAAAAGGAAAAACAAGTTTTAGAGGAACAACATTAGCTACGTACCGTTGACTGAGTAACTGATCGTGGTGTGAGACTGAATGACTGTATGCCTGCACAGTCCTGGGCTCGCTCGCGTGAATGTTTTTGTCAACATAATCGTACAACCACACAATATAGAATTACGCTAGTCATAGTGCTAAGATCAATTTATGCAGGTGCGCCCATATACAAATTTTAAGCAAGTTCCAAACCTTTCCTCCGAAGCCAATGTCTGCGTATGCTTTTTGCGACAAAAAAGCCCATGGATCTGTCAAATTTTATTGTTGAAGAATTAAGACAGAATTTATTTTTTTACAATAAAATATAAACTTTTTTGTGTGTGTAAATGTCGTATGTGAAGTTGAACTGAAAAATTCGGTGATAGAAATCTTTTTTGGAAATAGATGCACATAGTAGAATCGCTGCAGCTGAATGATAGCACAACGTAAATCAATACTCACTCACTCACTGACAGTAGTAGGATTGGTCAGAAATAAGAAAAGGACAAAATATTAACTTTCTTCACTGTAACGCAGGAGGTGGGACCTGATATTATTTCAAAGGGACAAAACTGTCAAATAGGTTTTTTGAGATCAGTACTGTTTTCGTTTAGCGATACGGTCGATCGTTACTGAAGGTATAATCGGCCTGAGAAAGTATACGGTTGGTCAGAGTTTAATATACGGTCGGTCTGAGAAAGTATACGGTCGGTCAGATTTAAATATACCTTCGGTACGAAATAAAAATATGATCGGTGTGTGTGAAGATACGATCGGTCTGGAGTGAAAATACTGTCGATCGGTAGTAAAGATATGATCTGTCTGAACTATAAGCACGGTAGGTCGAAAGCAAAAATACGTTATGTATGTAACGGTCGAAAGCAAAAATACGTTATGTACGTAAAGGTACGCTTGGCAACACAATAATAAACATATATAACCAGCGCAAATGTATTATACGTATGACTACATAGAAGGTAGTCAGGTGTGTACACGTTTCCAACTGTCAATCAATGTATGTACACGTGATGAGACACAGTAACACGGTTAAAATGTGTTGTTCATTTCACCCCACACGCGAAGATCCGGGTTAGAATTGATCTTCAGAAGCTTATGCTACGATGTCCATAATATCAATCACTGGATTGTCTGATCCAGACTCGATCATTTACAGACCGCCGCCACGTAACTGGAATATTGCAGACAAAAAAACAAAACATAAAACACACATACACTCGCACGCACGCACGCACGCACGCACGCACGCACACAAATAAGACTATAGTAGAAGAAGAAGAAACAAACAAAAAAGGAAACAGACTTTTTAACGCCACGCGTCATGTCGATTTGGGGTTATAGTGCATGCCAGGTACACTTTTCAGTTATTTTTTCCATTTTGGGGCTTTTTTTCATTTTTTGACGGTTAGGCCATTCCCTATAAACAATCAATTTTACTCAAATCTACAAACGAGAAACGGTTTTACCAAACCTTACACACCCAAACGTTTGATTAGACGGTATTGCTTAATATGCAATAAGACAGTAATAGAAATGCAAATTCACGAACTTTCACAAAACGTACACTGCCAGACAAAAGAAAGTATACAGCCATGTTTGATGGTGGCCAAACATGACACAAGCAAGAAATTATTATTTTATGACGAATTGACGATGTAGTTGATACGGGTATCATAGTTGAGTTTCGGCGACTGTTTTCAGCCGAGTAAGGTTTTGATAACGTTTTGTACTATTTGGGTCAAATCCATTTTTTAAGTGTATACGTTCTTTTGCCCGGCAGTTTATGACACTGTGCATAGGTATTTGCGTGAAAATGTAATAATAATAACCAAGACCCCACCCCTCATGGCCCTCGGTGGTTATATTTACTCAGTGTCGTATATCCCGCTCTCCCGTACCCCACCCCCGTGATTCGCCGTAACCTGCACACACTGCCACATGGCAGGTAACTCAGCTTTTACTTTCTCTTTATTATACGTTAACATCCGCCCACAAAAGTGACTCGATAGTTGGAGAAGACTAACTTTGTCTGTCACTACAATGGCAAAATGACAAGGCGTTTCCATGACGTGTGAGCGCGGAGCAGCCTATTACCCTAGATGTGTGTACTGTAGGTGGCGTTATAACCAACTTAAACGTATCATGCATGCGCGAATGTCAAGTTTATTTTGATACACGAAATGTACCGTTATGTAATAGACAAATCGCGTCGCCTCTGATAATGCAACAGTTTCACAGATCCAGGTCCACGCCTGAAAGAGAGCTTTCTAAATTCACGCTGGTGAGCTAGCCCGAGACAACAAAATTGTTCAAGGACAAGTACAATTCCAGTGATTGTAGTCCTCATTGACTAGGAGCACTTCGATATCTATAATTCTCAATGCTTCAATTTTGTTACAAATTGGAACTAAATAAAACTGAATAATGATAATAATGCCGAAAATGTAAACAGTCAACATTTCTGTCTTGTTGAAGCAGAACTAGCTACAGACTAGTGACATAAGGACTAGCAGGATCAGGTTTACACTAGTCATCAGGACTAGTCATCTGGGCTCTGTTCCACAAAGCGATCGTAACGCTACGACTGTCATAAGTCTACGTTGAGTTACAATTGTCTTAAGGCTACGATCGCTTTGTGGAACGGTGCCCTGGACAAGTCTTAAAATAAAC